GTTTCCATAATTACTACATAACTTACTACTCTAGTTTCTGATATTGTCAGGTCATGTTTATTTAGAGAAAACATATGATAAACCTTTTTTTTTCAGTTCTAAAGACCAGGAAACTAGTACAGGGTTTGATCACTGTTACCACGTGGCTTCCCTGAGCATCACTGGCTGTAGCCCTGGTGGCCTGCAAGAAGGACAGAGCAGCCTAGGTGTTCCAATGAATTGCAGATCTAAGTAGCATTATATCCTCAGGCCAAGGCAACACTTGCCTGCAGTTGTCTTAGTATCACTGTGAGTTGCTGCTGTACTCCCTGAGAACTCTTTGGGAGGTTCCCATTGCAAAGAAATATTATGGCAAAATGTGCATTATAACATACAGTTTAATTATTTTTATGTATACAGTTTAATGGCAATAAATACTTTCACATTGTGTATCTATTACGGCCTTCTACCTACAGAACTGTTTTTCATTTTCACAAATGAAACACTATACTCATTAAATAACTTGTTCATGCTTAGATTTTTGTGGGGTTTGGGCCACACCCAGCAGTGTTCAGGGCTTACTCCTGGCTCTGCTCTCTGGGATCAGTCATGGTGAGCTCAGGGGACCACATGGGGTTCCAGAGATCATATCCAGTTGGTCGTACACAAGACAAACTCCTGATATAATCCCTATGGTTCCTGACTAGATTTTTTAAAGCATTATTTTCAAGGTGCAATGAAGAAAAATTTCACGGAGTCACATAGAACAGCAGTCCTTCCCATGGTATTGATGCCTTTCTCCCTGATGTTAAGAATCCTCTTCCAGCCTCATGGATGCAGCTAACTGCTCATCCACACAGCCTCACTAGGTCACCAGGGCACCTTCCTTACCCTGATGAAAAGGCCCTGAGAATGGAGCAACAGCTGCTTCTCAGTTCCAAATTATGACTATGGTGTGTGTCTGCACACAGCACAGTTGTTGTAGAAAGAACAGATGGGACCCTGATATCCTAGTAGACCCATTGTAAGCCCCATCTTGAACATTAAATAGTGATGCACAGACAGAGGGTTATTTGTTTTACTCAGCAAAAAAGAAAAAAAAATCCCTTCTACAGAGGAGAATCGTTTCTGTGCAGAGTCTGAGGTTTCAATGTAGGGATTTCCTGGCTTCCTTCCAGAGTGCTTGTCTGCTGAGATAGACAGTCTTTGGAGCTATAATGTGCCAAAGCTTGTCAACACGGGCCTTTTATGACTTTTCAAATACATGTGAGGCAGACAAGTGCTCTGTAAAGTTCTGATCTTTTCTGGGGGAAGGAAGTGTCACATGCAAGTCAAGAAGAAAAACAAATTTGGAATCTGGCGGATTTCCCATTTGCTGTATCTTCAAATTACATCCAGAATCGTCTTGTTTCTCTTCTCATGGCCTCCATTGCTACAAGGCTGGTATGAATCACTATCATTTCTCATTTGAATTATGGTACCTCTTCCTGCTTCTCCTATTGTTGGCTACAATCAAATCTCAACATCGCATCTCTAGTGAACCTTCAGAAATAAAAACTGAATCTTACCACTCTTTTATTAGAAGCCTTCAGCTGGATCATCTCTTTTTTTTAAATTTTTTAAATGTATTTATTAATTTTTTTATTAGTGAGACATCATAAGGTACAGTTGTAGACTTACAAATTTTTGTGCTTGGGTTTCAGTTATACAATGATCAAGTACCCATCCCTCCACCAGTGCCCATTTCCCACCACCACGAATCCCAGTATCCCTCACACCCCCCATCCCCCTCATTCCACCCTGCCTCTGTGGCAGGGCATTCCCCTCTGTTCTCTTTCTCCTTTTGGGTGTTGTGGTTTGCAAAAGAGGCATTGAGTGGCAATCATGTTTAGTCTATAGTCTGCTTTCAGCATGCTTCTCCCATCCTGGGACGATCCTCCCAACACCCTTTATTTGGTGCTCCCTTCTCTATCTGAGCTCCCTTTTCCCCTAGCATGTGTGGCTGGCCTCCAAGCCATGGATCATCTCTTAAGGGCTGAAATCCTCACTGTTGCACAGAGGGCTCTATCCAGTTCCTTGTCTATCGTCTGAGCTCTCTGGTTTCTGTTACCTATCTGCTTGCTCTTTGTCTGGCTTAATTCCCTTCGCCACTGGGCTTTTTCTGGCAGGAGATCGTAATGTTCCAATTGTTGCTCTTCTGCCTGTATAGCTTTTCCACATCTAACCTCATGTATCATCCTTTCACCTCCTTTAAGTCTTTGCTGAGACGTTACCTTTTCTTTTAATCCAAGTCTGACAATACTATTTCAAATTGCAATCCCCAGTTCTGGGACTACCATCCCTAAACACTAACTACAAATTTCCATACATTTAATTATCCCTTATTATACAGTATAGCATTATTTTTGATGACTGCCTTTCTCTCTTCTCCACAACACAGAAAGGTAGCATATTTTTCCTTGTTCTGTTCACTGCTATCCCCACATATCCCAGTCCAGTACTGGAAGGTAGCAGATGTTGGGGAAAAAATATATATCTGGAACCAGAGAGATAGTACAACAGGTCTACATAGTACATGCTTGTCTTGCATGTAACTGACCTCATTTCAATTCTCTGATCCCCCATACAGTCCTTTGAGCCCCACAAGGAGTGATTCCTGAGCATAGAGTCTGAACTAACCCTGAACACTGCTGAGTGTTCACAAAACAAAAAAAAAAATTAATAGAGACTAGGACCTTTATCGGGATTACACCCACAGTTGCTCATGGGACTATGCAGTGTTTCACATCCTACCTGGATTCCCAACATGCAGTCTGCACTCAGGCTGTTGAGCTATTGCTCTCTCCCTATCAGAAACTTTTTAAAAATGAGCCTCTAGGAGGACAGAGATAAGATAACTCAAAGATTTGCTTTCAGGAGACCCAGATTCAATCTCCTGCCCTTTCACGGTTCTTTGAACACTGAAAATGACACCTGAGCAATGATCTGGGAGTAGCCTCTGAGCACCATCAGATACAATCCCTAAACCCAAACTAGAATAATAATAAAATAAAATAGACCTCTAATGCACAGAATTAAATTATTGATATAGTACTGTGGAACATACTGTTCGTTCACTGTGTTATCCAGTTTCTTGAAGGCAATCATTTAGCATCACCCACTTTATTTTATTTTAATTTTTTCTTTGTTTTGGGATCACACCAGGTAGTTCTTAGGGATTAAGTAGTCTCTTGGGTCTGTCCAGGGATAACTCCTGGTGGTGCTCAGGAATAGAATAAGGGTTGGCTGCATGCAAAAGGTTGTCCTTTTGTCCTGTCCTATCTTTCCAGCTAAAGTTTTTTTTAATTGTTTTTTGAAGCTGGGGTGGGATTTTCAGCGATTTCCCATTTCTGTAGTGTAACTGCATCCATCTTAGTCTATTTCAAACTAAAAATGTGGAGTCATTTGGATCTGCAAATGGAAGTCAGACCACTAACTCAGGAGAGAATAAAAACTAGCTTCAGCTTAACATTGTCTTTCTAATATGCAGACTAGTACTATTTTTTTTACTTTAAAATTATTTTTTTATTAATTAATTAATTTATTTTGAATACCCATCCCTCCACCAGTGACCATTTCCCACCACCACAGATCCCAGTAACCCTCCCACCCCACCATTCCATCCCCATCCCACCCTGCCTCTGTGGCAGGGCATTCCCTTTTGTTCTCGCTCTCCTATTGGGTGATGTGGTTTGTATAAGAGTTAAGCCTGATTTTCAGGGAGAAAGGTTGGATGACTTACTTTCCATTGATCACTTTGTATATAGGGAGATGTCGCGCGGCCGCATAAGCGGCCATGCGGTTTGGAGTAAAAGCCCTGGTTCCCACATGCCCGAGCTATGCTTGTAGAGGCTCAAGGTCACCAGGGTTCCATCTGGAAGAGATGAGATGCGGCACCTACCACATCTGGGACCTCCCTGTGATCTCGGCTCTTTTTGGGACCTGGTGCATTCTCTGGGAGCTGTGGAGCCACCCAGTGGCCGTTCTTCTCTGGGGCTGTGTGCTGTAAAGATGGCCCTGGGAGGCGGGTTGTGGGCATGACTTCCGGAATCAGAGGTTACCTGGGAGCCGGGAAGGTCCCGGCAGTTTGGAATGAGCAAGTCCTGGTACCCGCATACTCGAGCTATGCTTGTAGAGGCTCCTGGTCACCGGGATTCCATCTGGAGAAGGCGAGACTAATACTATTTCTACCTGAAACCAGCGCAAAGTAAAGCAAACCAAAATCTCAGAAACAGGGAAATGAAAATGGACATGTAAAAATGTAATGATAATTATAATGTCATTAACATATGTTATTGTATATAATGCCAGAAATATCTCAAATATTATGTAAATATGCTTTCAAGACTAAAGTATCATCACATAGTCAGGAAAGAGGATAGGAAACATACATAGAGTGCATATAAATATATAATTATATATAACGTGTGAGGCTGTCTCACATCCTTTAATTCTCACACATCCAAAGCCTGGGTACTGTTAATTCTTGTTTCTTAATGATAAGTGTAGTTTCTCTTCATAGCTCAAGAAGGAGAATGTATTACATCATGATCATGCAGACAACTGATTTTAGAGTGAAAATTTACATCCAAACTTCCTGTATTTCCAAGTCCCTAAGCTGGCCAATAGGTTTCCCTATACCCACCCACTACAAGTTTCAGAATTTGACCCATGAATTTGTATGCTGCTCATTATATCAGTATACAATACTGTTTATATTCATTACCTCGTATGAATAAAACGGAATGATAAATTATTTATCTGGATGATAAATTATTCAATTAAAAAGTTACTTTGTCATCAAAATTTGATAGCATAGACAATTTTCCCTTGGATGATGCATATTTTCTAAAATTATAAACTCTTTTATCCTTGCTAATAGTCATCCACTTTGTCTAATTTTCTTAATAGGAATGCTATCAAAGAAAAAACTGTAATTTGTGTTCTTTTTTAACACTACCTGCTTTTTCATTGTTCTCAAGGCCATTACATGTACATTGAGGCCTCCCACATGGTCTATGGGCAAAAAGCACAGCTCGTGTCCAGGTCTCTGCATGGAGTCTCCGGGAAACACTGCCTGACCTTTTTCTACCACATGTATGGGTCAGGGACTGGCCTGCTCAGCGTTTATTTGAAAAAGGAAGATCAGGAGTCCCTGTTATGGAGAAGAAGAGGTGAACAGAGCATTTCCTGGCTCCGAGGTTTGATCGAGTACAGCTGTGAGAGGCAGCACCAGGTAAGACGGAAGGGAGGAGAAATCAGTATTGCAAAAATAGTCCTATATCTTCTTTTTTTTGTCTTGCCACCGAAAGGAATACTTTGTTCTTTTTCAGGGTCATAGATAAAGGCAAAATTGGCATAAGAATAAACATAATGAGTCTATATTGATCAAATCTTAGCAGTGAGTGGGAAATTAGGCAGAGAGAGAGAACACTTTGAGTGTTTATGCATAAAGTGATTTTTACAGGTCAATGATGAAAGTGTATCTATTTTTGTCTTGGCACAGTATGAATGTCAAGTATATGCATGTGTCCTGCCATTCTCTACAATAGTCTCCCAATCTTCTCAACGCTGCCATTCCTTAGATCACTATTGAAGCTGCATCTTTCACTCACTGCTACCCACATGCGAGGGCTTTTGTGATCAGCTTTTACTTAAAAGAGAATAAAAAAATCTTTGTCACTATTGTTGTAGGGAGCACACTGGGCAGTGGGCACACACAGTGCCAGGATTAAACCCAGGACTCACTTGTTCAAGGCATGTGCTCTACCACTTAACCACCTCCCCAGCCCAAGAATAAAATTTTTAACCTCTGTTTGCATTATTGTTAATGCATAATTTTTAACCTCTGTTTGCATTATTGTGGAAGAAAGAGAGTCGTGAGTCCAAGTCCTGACTCTTCCCTTCGGTCTTACTATATCCTGTAGATCTCCATCCTAAAGGATTCCAGTTATAACGGAATCTGGGCAGTGAGCAGAAAAAGTCTTTTTCATTCTCCTTGGTGAGGCTGAGCAACCAGTTTAATCTAGAGATGATCAGCTGCCTCCTGCCAACCACTGACTTTACCCAACAACCTTGAGCCAAAGTTTACAAAGAATCAGGGCTGAGGATGGAACAGCGGTAGAGCACTTGGCTCGCTTGTCTGAGGATCTGGCACTGCCCAAAAGAATTAAAAATAAACAACCAAACAAAAAAGTTCCAAAAGAATCTGGGTTGGGGACCAGGAACATAGCTCAAAGGGTTGGAGCACCTGCTTCCCATGTAGCTATAGTGGGGGGAGGACCGTAGGGGACGAGGAGACTGTAGAGGCTTACTGAGGAGGGGAGTGGTGGCTCTCACGAGGTTACAGATGTGGAATGCCCTCAGAGTTCCACAGGGCTTCCAAATGCATGGAACAGGGAGATGGAGGGTAAGGGAGGAGTTAACACTCCAAAATTTGGAGCCTACGCTACTGACAGAGTGGCACTGCCCTTTGGTGAGATGGGGAAGACTTTCAGTGGAGTAGATCCAGGATAGCGAGGGCTGTGTGTGCAGAAGGAAAACTAACAGATATGTTTTGAACAAATGAAGGGTTTTTTTTTTATTTTTGGGTCACATCCAGCAATGCACAGGGGTTACTCCTGGCTCTGCACTCAGGAATTACTCCTGGCGGTGCTTGGGGAACCATATGGGATGCTGGGAATTGAACCTGGGTCGGCTGCATGCAAGACAAATGCCCTACCCGCTGTGCTATCATTCCAGCCCCCAAATGAAGTTTTTGATGTCTTTCGGACGTCCAGGTAGATATGCCAGGTAAACAGGATATGAGACTGAAGCTCAGAGGAAAGAATCAAACCGAGAGCAAGTCTGTTGATGAGCAGCAGGGAAGGGAAGATAAAGATGATTTTAAGAAGGCTGCAGAAATATTTCTGCCATTTGAGACTCATCATATAGAAGGAATGTGTGGGTAGCCTCCAAATGACACTTCTGTCATCAGATTCTCTTTGTAAAAGAAATGCATCAAATGGCAAAGTTTTAAGCAGTCTCCTTCCTGCAGGCTTCACTTGAAGTGCTAAGCAGAACCTGACTGGCCATTGATCAGAAAGCCCAACTGATTTTATTCCCTTTGAATTCTTTGCTTACCTTTTTTTTTCTTTGGCTTGCTCTGATTTTATTTATATGTTGATTCCTGGTTTAAAAAAAATGTTGCACCACTTCTCAACTCACTGAAATATAGTTTTCAATCATATTGTTGAGTGCTGTTTAATATTTACTAGGAATTATTATGTGTCTCAAATTCAACTAAGACTGAGTCTCCAGAATTTTTCGTGGTGATTTTAGTCTAATTGAATTTTTCTAGTGTCCCTAGACTAAAATAAATACCTAACAGTTTCTTTTTTTTATTGTGTCCAAACCATTTAATACGTTTTTGTATCTTAACAGAAAAAGCTATTTGGAAAAAACAATATGCCCAATTCAGGAAAAAAAAAACTATTTTAATCTAATTCTTAAATAACCAAAATTATTTACTAATAGACTGTGCATCCTTTAGTTAAAATAAGTGAATCATAATGTTATAAAATGGATATCACGCAATAACTAAGGAATTTCAAAAGAGTGGGTTATATGAAAGAAAATATTTGGCTTAACTCTCAAAATATAATTTCATCTGATAACCTGTATATTACACTTCCATGGAAGACTTGGAAGTAAAAATAACAGATTTAATTGTTTTCCATAAAACTGAAGGACTTATTAACTTCACTGATATCCTTATTCCTAGGTGTCATTTTGATCATTTTTCCCTTCTTTGTCACTTATGTGGATTCTCATTTCATATTGTGGGCTCAGAATTTTTATTAACATTATTTTGCCACATTTCTGCCTCTAAGTATTTTTAGAAGCATTGTTTTCTGGATAGGGCTGGAGTGATAGCAGAGTGGATAGGGCATTTGCCTTGAATGCAGCCAACATGGCCAACCCAAGTTTGATTCCTCCACCCCTCTCGGAGAACCCGGCAAGCTACAGAGAGTATCTCGCCCGTACGGCAGAGCCTGGCAAACTCCCCGCGACGTATTCGATATGCCAAACACAGTCACAACAAAGTCTCCAATGGAGACGTTACTGGGCCCGCTCGAGCAAATCGATGAACAACGGGAGGACCGTGACCATGACTGTTTTCTAGATCGTTTATATGCTTATTAATTATCTAGTTTATATTCTTTGATTTAATTTAAATCATGAATCAGTTCAATAGGGAATTATTTGCTTATAAAGTGAGTGCCACAAATTTGTCTCTGGACAAGTCTCATTACCCACAAGCCCTGGAGTATCAGTGGTCTATTAACCATCCATTGGGGTTGGTGTTAGAGCTAGTAACAGTGTATTTTCTCTAGAACTTGAATATTTGATGAGTTACTATTTTGTTCTGAGGATCAAAAGACATAAAACTGATTCTATCATATTCCTTGGCTGGGTCTTGAATATCACAGTATTTAACATGAATGTAGAGTTGTTTGGTTGATAAATGTATTTATAATGCTTTGCTATTCATATATGGTTCTCATCAGTCATATTTATTTCTTTTCGTACCAGTATCAAGGGTAGATTAATGGGGAACCTAAGGAAACTTAGGTTACTAGATCTATCAATTTCATAGGTTCTAAGGGTATAAGGGAATGTTGTAGGTAGAAACAGGAAATCCAGGAAGTATCGTTGGGTGAACATTTCTGCACAATTGCCAAAAAAATTCTCAAAAGAAAGATCTCAAAAGTTGCAGTAGTTTATTATGAATTTCTTCAAATAAGTAGTCTTTTTCATACCAAAATTTGAGTGAGTTATTTTGTACTATTTTTTCCCAAAAGTTTGGGCTTCCAGACCCCCAAAGCCTGGTTCTGTTCTTGCCCATGTTGTTTTATCAGTGACTCTATTTATAAATTCAAATGCCATTATTTTTTAGATCATTTTTGAAGCAATTCGGGGAGTGTCGATACGCAGTGACATTGCCATTGATGACGTTAAATTTCAAGCAGGACCCTGTGAAGGTAATAATATTTTTAGCACTTCTCTAAGCTTCACTGAGAGAGGATTTTGCAATAGTCTTCAGTCATAAGAATGTAAATTTAGTCTTTCTATAACAAAAACAGAAGAGTTATTAATGTCTATTTGTCCTTCCTGGCAGAAATCGAAGATACAACTCAACAATCATCAGGATATTCTGAAGACTTAAATGAAATTGAGTATTAAGAAATTATCTGAAATAGATTAAACAAAAGCCATACCTCTCTTCAATCAAAATGAAAGCAAAACAAATTAACATGGAACAATCTTCACCATTTCATAAGTTATGAAATTATTTTCAAGCTCTCTTTTCATTACTTTTGCCAAAAAAAAAATACTGACTCAGGGCTTTTTTGTTTATTTTTATATGACAACTGTACAGTCTCTGCAAGTACAGGCTGCTGGTTTTGTGTAGATCTTCATTTTTGTACCAGTAAAAACTACACATGGACTATATTAAAGTCATTTAAAAGCTTGCAAGTAAGGGCACAATCAAAAGGAAATGTCCTCACTTAAATCTGCATTCAGTGAATGTACTGGGAAGAGAATAAGTTTTGTGGGTTTCCTTTAGAATTTCAATGATCATAAAATGTTTTTTAATTAATGTGTGGTATCAGTGATACCTGCAGAATGAATGCAGTCTTTTAATGCTTAAAAATGAGTCTAAGAATATAAAATCTTATTTTCTGTGTTTTATCCATAGAAATTGACTATTTAATTTTCTTACCATATATGATAACAAAGAATCTTTCATGGATGTTCCAGGGTAAGTCAGTATTAATTAATGTTGCATTACAAAGTAATATAATTTTCCCTTAATTTTCCTCCCTTTAAACTACTTTTAAAAGTCACTATGAGCACATGAATAGAAATTGCATTTTTTTTATGAAGCAAGCTTGCAAATGTTTATGTACACACACTCAAAAACATTTAGGTTTTGTTAAACAATTTCATAATTTTTTATGTATCAGTTTTGAGTAATATGAATTCAAGCATATATAATAAACTACTGCATCTTCTATACCTGTTTAGAAAATTGTACATACATGGTTGTATACTCACACAACTATTAAAAAATTCCAAAATACCTAATAAAAATCAGTTGAAAATCTTTTCAGTAGCAGTTAACTCATTCTTATCTTATTTTTCTTTATCACAATATCTTCACTATATAACTGCAGATTCTGAGTATCTTCTCTCCCACAATTAAATGCGTAAGTCTCTTATTATTGACATGAGCTCTACATACATCAATACAATAATAAATTTTTTAATTACTGGCGTTACGCCCACCAACTGCCCCCAGCACCGTGTAATCCCATCAACGGCCAAGACCCAGAGACTATAAAACCCAGCTCCCGGTAGAGAACAGCGCAGAGTCTCCTGCCTCTGTGCCTGGCCGTCCTCACCAGGGCCCCTTGGAGGGGAGCGGGTTGAGTTTCCCTCCTCCCCCTGAGCAGAGCTCCAGCAGCCGAAGACCTCCAGAACCAGCCACCACCATGCTGAGACCACTCTCCACACGCATGAAGGTACCAGCAGAGGAACAAAGGCATGCGGGTCCCGGGACTGAGATCTCCAAGCCTGCTTGGATCGGGGCTGAGCATCCTGCACCCAGATCCTCCATATGCCAGTAAGCAGAGGTCACACCCACCAACAGGCCCCCTGGTGCCGTGTAATCTCATCAACAGCCAAGACCCAGAGACTATAAAACCCAGCTCCCAGAAGAGAATAGCGCAGAGTCTCCTGTCTCTGTGCCTGGCTATTCTCACAGGGGCTCCTTCGAGGAGGGTGGGTTGAGTTTCCCTCCCCACCCCGAGCAGAGCCTTGGCAGCTGAAGACCTCCAGTTTCAGCCACATCCATGCTTAAGACCACTCTCCACACGTTCGGATGAACCTCACACATGAAGGAACCGGCAGAGGAACCCAGGTGTGCGGGACCTGGCGCGTAGATCTCCAAGTCTGCTCGAATCAGGACTGGGCCTCCTCTACCCAGATCCCCCATCTTCCAGTATGTAGGCATTACACACACCAATTTCCCCCAGTTCCGTGTAATCCCATCAACAGCCAAGACCCAGAGACTATAAAACCCAGCTCCTGGAAGTGTACAGCCGCATTAGCGGCCACGCAACATCCTATTATCTAGTTCCTACTCTGGAGAACCTGGCAGGCTACCAAAAGTATCCTGCCCACATGGCAGAGTCTGGCAAACTCCCCGTGGCATATTCAATATGCCAAAAACCAGTAACAATGATGGGTCTCATTCTCCTGACACTGAAAGAGCCTCGAATGTGGCACTTTCTAAAATCTCAGGGCTAGGATGAAGGAGACATTACTGGTGCCTGCTCGAGGATATTGATGAACAACAGGATGACAGTGATACAGTGATACAGTTTTTCTTTTTATCAAGACACCATGACTTACAGAGTTACTTAGTTGAGTTTCACACACAGTGTTCCAATATCAGTCCCACAACCAGCAATGTCTTCCCTCCAAGGGCATTCCCAAGCACCCTCCCACCCAGCCTACCTTTTTGGCAGGCACATTTAAAAAACATTTATTTCACATAACAATATCAATTGTTCCTGAAAGTTGATCTTAGTATAGAAACTTTATGCAGATAAGAATTCTTATCTGGGGGCCAGAGCAATAGTAAAATGGGTAGCTGTGAACACCACATACCCAGGTTCAATCCCTGGCATCAGGAATAATTCCTGAGTGTGAAGCCAGAAGTAACCCCTGACTATAGCCAAGTGTGACTCAAAAAGCAGGAATAAAAAATCTTGCCTGTTGTATTTATTTTTGTAGTATCAGAACCCAGAAGTATGTCTAGTATATTGTAGGTATCAAGAAATATTTGTTGGTGACCAAAACACAGAGAGAGCCCACGGAATGGGAAAGAATATTTACCCAATACTGATAAGGGGTTAGTATCCAGAATATACAAGACAGTAGTAGAATTGTACAAGAAAAAACCTCCAACGCCATCAAAAAATGGGGAGAAGAAATGAACAGAAGCTTCCTCAAAAAAAGAAATACAAATGGTCAAAAGGCACATGAAAAAATGCTCTTCATCACTAATTATCAGGGAGGTGCAAATTAAAACAACAATGAAATATCATCTCACACCACAGAGACTGGCACACATCAAAAAGAACAAGAACAACCAGTGCCCATGCGAATCTGCAGAGAAAGGGACTCTCTTCCATTGTTGGTGGGAATGCCAACTGGTCCAGTCTTTTTGGAAAACAATATGGGCATTTCTTCAACCTTTTTGGAAAACAAAGTAAACATTCCTCCAAAAACTAGAAATTGAGCTTCCATGTGACCCCACAATACCACTTCTGCGAATATATCCTGAGGGTGCAAAAAAGCACAGTAGAAACGACATCTGCACCTCTATGTTCATTGCAGCACTGTTCACAATAGCCAGAATCTGGAAACAACTTGAGTGCATAAGAATAGACGAATGGTTAAAGAACCTTTGGTACATCTACACAATGGAATACTATGCAGCTGTTAGGAAAGATGAAGTCATGAACTTTGCTTATAAGTGGATGTTCATGGAGAGTATTATGCTAAGTGAAATGAGTTGGAAAGAGAAGGACAGACATAGAGGGACTGCACTCATTTGGAGTTCAATATAAAACTGTAAAAAGGTAAAGGTAAAGGTAAAGGCCCTCCCGTTGATCGTCGATTTGCTCGAGCGGGCCCAGTAACGTCTCTATTGGAGACTTTGTTGTTACTGTGTCTGGCATATCAAATACTCTCGGTAGCTTGCCGGGCTCTCCGAGAGGGGCGGAGGAATCAAACTCGGGTCGGCCATGTTGGCCGCGTGTAAGGCGAACGCCCTACCCACTGTGCTATCGCTCCATATAAAACTGTGGAACATAAAAATAGCATAATATAAAACTGACACCCAAGGACAGCCAACACAAGGGCCAGGAATATTGTTCCATATTTGGAAGTCTGCCTCATGAGCTGGGGGAGAAGGCAGCTGGAATAGAGAAGGGATCACTAAGTCAATGATAGTTGGAGGGATCGTTCAGGATGGGAGATGTGTGCTGAAAGTTGATAAAGGACCAAACGTGATAGCCTCTCAGTATCTATATTGAAAACTATAATGCCCAAAAGGAGAGAGAGAGCATAGGAGAAATTGCCTGCCATAGAGGCAGGGGCTGGTTAGGAAGTGGGGTGGGGGAGTACTGGGGACATTGGTGGTGGAAAATGTGTATTGGTGGAGGGATAGGTGTTTGGTCATTGTATGACTGAACTCAAACATGAAAGCTTTGTAACTGTTTCTCACAGCGATTTAATTTAAAAAAGAACAAGGAAAAAAGAGAAATACCGGTTGAATGAGTAAGTGAATGAATGAACCTCTCCCAACGTAACTTCAAAATAGAAATATCAGTTTCCCTTTATATAGATAAGTAAACTTGGCTTAAAAAGAGTAAAAAACAAAACTGTTAAGATTCCACAGCCATTAAATCAAGGAACTTAACCCAAATCCTTTCTTTTTTTTCTTTTTTATTTATTTTTGGGTGCCGTGAGTTGGGGATCAAAAGTAGAACCTTACATATATATATATGTATATATATATATAGAAGCATCCCCTTTATTACTGGTCTCAAATCCTTTCCACTCGTGATGATTAGTTACCCAACAGCAAGAAGATCTCTACATAGAATGGAGACATTGGAGAAAGATGTCAAGCTGTTGACCTACTCAACTGCAGTCTAGGCATCTTGATTCCTTTAGAACAGGATGATTCCTGTTTTCAATTAGTTTTGATCCACAACAGGAATATTTTCTGATTAGAGAAATGAAGAGTGGGGGGTCGGAGAAATAACTCATGGGACTAGAGCACATGCTTTGCAGTCAGGCAGCAGAGTGCAAGCCCCAGCACCTCATGGTCCTTCTGAGTATTGCTAGAAGTGGCCCCAACCAGAGAGCTGGAAGTAGCCCATGTGCCAGTTGTAGGCCAAAACCATTAATAAAAAGTAATGACTGGTATGTCTTCAGGGTTTAACCGTGTTTATAAAATCTGGAGAATGAATAAAATCATTGTCCAGCCTCCTTGCTTCTGGATTACATAAGACAATATTTATGATCATCGATAACATTTATGAAGTGCTAAGTACTTTCGGACATCAAATAACTTTAGTGAATTTGTTCATTTAATTTTAAGAAAAACTTCTGAATTAGATCTAGTGATATTTCCATTTCTAGATTGGAAAACAATATAATAAAGTTCAGCACCTAGGGTGGGGCTGGATTTGACCCTGGGTTCTTTCACTGCCAAACCCTCTGTTCCAGTCCTCATATGTTCCAGATCTCTCAGCTCTCCTGCTTACTCCAATACCAATTTAAGTTCGCAACAAAGGTTCTAAGCTTTCACATTTCATCAGGAATTATTTGCTACCAAAGTTTCCCCCAAAGGTTGCCAAATCAGCAATACTACCTGCGAATTTTGAGATTTGGGAGCATAAGGTGGAAAAAAGGATTCCAACTATTGGTTTAAAAGAGAAAGGAAGGTATTATTAGCAGTTTTTGCTAAGAAACGATCTGAGTGGAGTTCTTACCCAATTCAATCAACTTAATCAATGGTTGAATAAATAACAGTACTCCTACATTACAAAATAAAAGGGGAAAAAAAGAAATGATCTGAACACCAGAGAAAAGAGTTGAAAGTTAAATGGATTTATTTACTCTCTCATTTAAGTTCCTTTTGCAGGATTCACTTTTCTAAGCTTTTCCTTTAGTTCGGTTGCATAGGGTAGTCATTCAAAACCAATGTTTCTCAAGTGTTTTCCAACCATGGTCCCTTTGATATTGCCTCCTTCGTGTGGCCACTCTATCCTACAGGTTGACCTCCAAGTCTCATATCATGCCACCACAGTGTGCAGTTTTCACATGTAGCCCCCATGGTATATTGTGGGACCCATAGAGAGGTCATATAACCCAGGTTGATTAACTATATTTCAACCTGGATGAAAATATAAAAGCTTAGTACTTGTCTCCAGTTTGGAAATGCCCACGGGGAAAGCAAACTAGTTGATAAACTATTTAAGTCCAGTGTTTGCACTTAGTCTATTTCTAATTAAG